TCCCTTGAAAATCAGATCCATGTAAATTTTCTTTTTTGATCTGATATTCTTGTCAATGAATCTCTGTGGGTGTACATTTTATTGAAAAGGACAAAATTACTTTTAAATATAACTGTCTAAAATGGAAAAAATAAAACATTTTCGTGAATCATCTCGTATTTCAAAAAAAAGCTGTATCTTTAATCATCTACTGTTAAATTCACTAGTTTTATTTGATAAGGAAAATAAAGCTGACATTTGTCTTAGACATGACTTCAATTGGAAATTTGAATACTTTGCTTGAAGCAACTAAGAGTGGATTTTTGAAATGACCATTCAACAATACATTAGGGCGTAGTATCTTTAGCTAGTCTACACCTTAAATTTCACTTGTAAAATAAAACATAAATTAGTAAATAGAGTTCTTATTACAAATATATTCTAATAAGATCTCATTACACAATAATGATGATTGGAAAAATTATGAACTTGCATACTGTGATGAAGTGCATTTGAATTACGTATGAAGCTTACAGAATATCAGCTCATAAAATAAACAGTTCCTAGTGATAACCATCAGAACTATTAGTATCATTATTATTCCCTTAGGATCTCAGCGACACAAAGGGCTTCAACAACACATCTTCGTTTAGACCGATTAGTTGTAGTCCTCTTCAGCTAGTTCGACGATTTCCAACAAACTTTCATATCTTCTTCAAATGAGCTTCTCTAGCTTACCCTCACTTCCACACCCAACTCTTCATTTCCTACTCGAGTCCTTGATGTGTGATGTCACTTAACGGTCTCTTTAGTGTGTGTTCGACCCACCAGCATTTTATTCTGCATATCATTCGGCTGATAGGTTCTAGGTTTGTTCCCTTGCCTGACAGAGTTCCTTGTTACTTATCCTTCCTGGTAGATTATCTCAATCTTCAGTATGGAGCGAGGGCGTCTTTGGATAAAAGCCCACACCAGGCTGTTGAGAACGTTTTTAGTCACGCATCCATTGTATAAGTGTATATAGAAATACTGACTTGACATTAATGATAAAGATCCGAATCTTGTTACTCATGCTAAGTGAGGCTGATTTTGACAATCAGAAATATAATAAGGTGAAACTAAAGATCTCAATATCTCTCTCTGAGTTTTAGACAATTAATTGTCCGGCTAGATTTCCGCAGTCCAAATCAAGTTTAAGACGGCTTCGGTGGTAAACACAGTGTGCTGTTTTAAATCTTGTCGTTGTGATTTATGTATAAGGAATTCTTTAGTAGAGTAGTTCGCCTTCAAACAGCGTACTTATAACTGATTCCTATCGTGAATTAATTAGGCAGCATCAAAGAGGTACTGTTAAATATTCTTCGTATTAGACGGTTGGTTAGATAGTGGCGTGTGTAAAATCGGTTTGTGTAACTGAATATTTATTCGACATAAGGAATCGTTCATTATATTTTGTTATTAGACCGGAGGATTATATCACGTATGAGGCTTTAAAGCAAAATCTTCAGAATATGTATATATTTCCAAAGATCATGTCAAGTGACAGCTATTCTTTAGTTTCCAAACGAATGGATACTGAACAAAGGGGTACTCTTTTCGATAACTTCATCATCTCAGACTCTACAGTTATATATACATTATAGTGAATGAATGAATTAGTGTTATGAACAACATTAATGCTGTGTAAATAACATAGAATCAATAATATTGATAGATTACAGCTCAATATCATCAACATAAAATAAGCTGAATGTCAGAAGAATGAGGAAGGATAATATTGCAAATTCATGAATTTATAGTCTCTACTGAAGGCCAAAGTATGGGCTGACTTTCTTCTTTTGAACACAGACCACTGGTTGTGTTAGGCGAATTGCAATGACCTCAGCTGTTTGGAGCGTGCCCTTAATTTTACCAGTCATTGGATAAGTGTAAAGTCTTCAATAATGAAATGCTAAGTAGACTGTACCATTAATTTTGTTACACCTAAAGAAAGTTTATAAACGATTGGTTTCATTGAAAGTTCAAGTACTGCTTAGGGAATTCTAATGGACTGAATTTACGAGTACTTCTCTCCAGCTATGTGGGACTGCTGTATTGAACCGACAGTAAGAGACAGTGTTTTACATATGCTATTAATTCAGTTTGACAACTCGTGCCGCATTACCTTTTATGCAGCACAATAGCTGATAAATTTATCCGTGTATTCTAGTCTGTTTCACACTTTTACATTCCATCTAAACTGTAACAGTTATTAATGTATTAACTTCTTTTGCTATTTCCTGTTAAAAAGTGTTCCACATTTTGACCGAAATTATTTGAGCTACATTTGACCAAGATGGCCTTCAAGCAAAAATGAACAAAATAACAATACATTTATTCAAGTGTTGGTTTGTAGGGACTTGATTGGTTACATCATGATTTGAAATCAGTTAAAGAACCATTGGAAAACCTGGGAGTACTGGACAGCTGTTTCATCCCAGTCTGGGACTCTACGGCAGTGTGCAGCTACCACCAGGATTCGAACCCAGGACCTTCTGGTTACAATGCCAGCTCGTAGACCATTAAGCCACCAGGACCCGATCCAATGGCCTATGAATTCTAACTTCTTCCCTATGGGTGCGCACTGATGAAGATTTCAAAACTAGGATGAAACAGCTGTCTAGTACCCCCAGGTTTTCCGATGGTTCTCTAACCGATGTCAGCTCATGATGAAATTCTGTAAACAATACATTTAGTTTCATTTCTAAACTTTATATAATTGAGAGTATGAAGTTTGTCGTCCATTGCGATGGGAACGTTAAAGGCCACCTGAGAAACAGTAAACACTTTCACCACAGGAAAATGTACTTAACGAATGAATAAATGACAGTAGTGAGAATTTAGTTTTTTCATCCATTTACATTCCGATCAAAACATGAGGCTTGAAACTTTGACTTTTGAAGGTGGGAATGTTAGATTCATTCCCAGCATTCCTTCTCTGTTGGGTTTGGTACCAGATAAACGAGGTTTAGGAGTGTGTAGGTCGGAGATCAAACCCCGGACCACTATCATGGTTTGTTACCATTCTATGGCTGCACCACCATATATAAATACATATAGCGGTTTGATCACTTGGAAATACACCTTGGCTTCGTGTCTTGCCTTCTACTGTCACCATATGAATGTAGAGCCTGATGAAGAATTTCTGGAAAAGAATATTCTTAGTTCATTAATCAGTCTTTCATAATACAGAAAACTACGTCGTTCAGTGCTTTGTCGAATGCAGCGCACAAATTCATAGATTACAAGAAGACTTTTGAAGAAGTCAACAATAAGCATAGTTAACTTTCAAAAATGATTTTTTTTATTGCCTAATGAAGTCAAATATTCAAAGATATCATCCTGCACTCACCCTTTTCGTCTTCTGGGAGTATCTTTCATAACTTATTTAAACTGACTTGTTTTGGATTATGTTAATAATTATCAGACCAAATGGGATAAATTCTCTCATTTGCCTCTTCATCTTTATTTTACAGTTCTTTAGTAGAATCTTTTACTAAATCACTTAAATGTCACGTTTACCTTAGGTCTAATTTACATCAATGATGAGTGTTTTGTGATATTTGACTACTAAGATGAATGAAGTAACCGTTTATATCCATTACAAGAAGATGTGAAGGAGATCAATACAAATATAGCGATGCAAAAATATATTATTATTCCCTAGGGTTCCGAGTGGAACATGGGGCTTCAACAACCCATCTCCACGTGGGCATATTTTCTGCCATCCTCTTCAGATGGGTCCACAATTACCCATAATCTCTCATTTTCTTGTCGCCACACGATCTCCTCCATGTCATCCTCGCATCGACGACCCACTCATCGGATTCCACTCGAGCAATGGTCTGCATTTCGCACGATGTCATTCGATTGTTTCTCCAATGCATTTCCGATCCATCTCCATTTAGTCCTGCATATTTGTTGAGCAACCGGCTCTTGGTTGGTTTGTTCCCAGCCAGAGTTTCTTGTCATTAATTCTTTCTGGCTGGTCATTTGATCTTCAGTATAGATCCAGCGAAGGTGGCAGCTATAACTTTTTGGAAATCTCTTTCATGCTGCGAACGCCAAGTTTCTGATCCGTATACAAGAACTATGCAAGAATGTGAAATATTTTTTGATAGACGTTAGTTTCCCATTTAGTGGGAATCAAATTTTTGTGTACATTTCGAATTGTTCACCTCTTTGAATTCAATCCCTAGATTAATTTGATCGTTTCCACGTTAGTACATATATATCTAACAACACACTTAAGCAGATGTTTTATAACTGAAGACAAATTCATTCGGCAAGACGCAGTACTGCCCATTTACTGAGACATTTTTGACAACAAAGTGCTATTTAGGAATAATTTCACTACATAGGCAAAAATTACCTTTTTAATGACTGTTGCGATTTCGATTTCCCTGAGTATTTACGTAATGCATTTTAAGTACGAAGTAGGTTAATAAAGGGATTAGTGTATGAAGTTTCATGAGAACAGGTTGGTCGTCTATTTTTCTCCCTTAATATTAATTCGACACAGTACACCACTAAATCACCGTTTTGTGTCATTTATTGTTGCTGTGTCTTTGGCAGTAACAATGATTTATTTAAATATCCTTAGTTAACCTAGTTGATCTGATTCACGACACAATCTAATACTTCTTTTATATACTTCTACAAAATCTTTCTAAATAGGAAGGCAATAATCTCTTATATATCTACACTTAATAATAACAGTAAAAATAAATATAAACAAAACTTTTTATAGCAAAATAATAATGCGTTTGTTTTTTCTTTCTCAGTAAATAATATCCAATTTGTTCTGATTTGAACTTGATAACAAATATCTTAGCTGCCTGATTTTAACCAATCAAAATTTAAAGAAATGATGGACCAATGGGTTTCGCCTATTTGTCTTGTTGTGTGATTCGTTAATAACACACAGAGTAATGAATACTACCTCAACCTCAAAAACCTCAAAGAAGAGGTGTGTAGAGCTCAAATAAATCCATTATAAAAAGTGAATACATATCCCATTATTGTATTAAATATTTACACCTAAATTGAATTAGCATTTTTCAAGTAAGTTAAAAAGTTTCTGTAAATGTATGTTGATTCTTTCTAAGTATTCATCCATTTAAGTAATATTTTATATTTTCAAGAGCTGGTTTGTAAGGGTTGGCTTTGTGTTTACGAGTTGATCATGGATTGAAAATAGTTAGAGCACCATTAAAAACCAGGGAGTACTGGACAGCTGTTTCATCCTAGTTTTGGGATCATTGGCAGTACGCACTCACCACAGAGGGTTCGAACCCAGGACCTTCCGGTTACAAGGCAATCTCGTAAATCATTCAGCCACTGGGACCCGATTCAATGGCCAGTCCATGGATTCTAACTTCTCACAATTCGTGATTTAGCGCAACTGGCACCAATCAATGTCATCGATGGGATATCCATCCGCACACTTGACTGGATGGACCTTAGTGGTCACGACTACTAACTAGAACTCGAGGAAACTCTGTCCTTTAGCAAGTTGCTAGTGAGCATCAGATTTTTATTAGGCACCATTCTGATTGCACGTGTTTGGTCATGATTTGATGAACTAAGCTTCACTGAATAATCTCCTTCTCTCCAACCAACTACGTTACTTTTCGATACTTCCCCCTTGTCCCCTCCTACACTGTAAATACATATATTAGCAGGTGCATTGCAGTGGTCGAGCTTGTTCCATAGATTGTTTAACTTAGCATGGTCAGTTATTCTAGATCTAGCTAGATTCCTATTTTTCGATTATCGAATTGACCCCGATCTACTAGTTTGACCAATACAAATGGTATTTAGTAATTTATACTACTTTTTTAATCTCTGAGAGAAGTGGTTGGTTTATTTGCCACACTAATTTAGAAACCTATATTGATATGATTATGTGCAGTCAGTTTTGTTCGGAACTTCATCGACTAATTAATACTTGAATAAGGCATTAAGAAGACAAATTTCGCGAGATGATGCCATCATTTCTTAGTTTCTTTACAACCGCTTTACAACTAACATGGTTAACAATAATAAAGATCATGACAATTGCTCAGTTAAATAAAAAACAAAAGTACATACTAATGACCAATCATATTTAGATAGGTCATGCAGTCCATGGTAAGCGAAGATTGAAGTCTATTGTTTTTTGTACACACAGTTTAGGCTGTTTGTGATTAATCCAAAGTGCTTCCATCATCCTTAATAACCAACCTTGAATTAGAGTTATGTGAAATAATTGTGAAACAGTCATTAATATTGATTTTGTGACCAGACATTAATAAGTGATTTGCAATGGATGATGCTGGATTTCTGTTCAGATTAATCGCATTGGGATTTTCGATATGATTTAAAAGTCATTTTGGAACATGTTCTTTTCGACGACATTGGAACATTCTGTTGGTTCTACCTATAAAGGTGTCACCGCAGCTGCAGGTGAACTAGTAGATACAGTTTGAAGTATAGTCCATAGAATTTCGTCCTTTAATCGTAGGTACAGGGATCGAAAATGTTCGGCAAATGAGAAAAAGAGATGTGGTGTAGAATGTGTTTGATGGCTGACCGAAGTCTTTGAGCTGTCAACTGTATAATCTGGTCGCCCTTGAATGATAGATTAATAAAGATAGCTTTTTTTGGTACAGAAGCAATCTTCTCTAGATGTGGTTTTTCTTTACCGTGACAAGTGATAAAGTTTTCCGGATAACCATTAGCTAATAAATATTAACTGTACCATGGACAACATGACCTATCTAAATATGATTGGTCATTAGTATGTACTTTTGTTTTTTATTTAACTGAGTAATTGTCATGCTGTTTATTTTATTTTATTATTGTTAACCATCTTAGTTGTAAAGCGGTTGTAAAGAAACGACAAAATGAAGATATCATCTCTCGAAATTTGTCTTCTTAGTGCGTTATTCAAATCTATCAAAGGGATTAACTGTTTTAATAATACTGTATCACTATATGGCATATTAAATAAACTTATCCAATATATAAGCCCACGTTAAAATGTTACCGGCACCAATAAAGTTCAGACAGATTGTAGTGTGAACAGTAAGTCAATGGCTTACATAATTCTTTGTGATTTTTTATTTAATTTAGTGAACTATGAGTGTGTACGGTACTCTTGTGTATGTATGACGCATTAATATGACAAATATACGAAACTACTGTATTTAAAACGAAATTCAGGGCAGTTAACATCAGTCTAGTAATTCAGAGAATTAGGGATTCAACTATACTGTGTTTTGTGTATGCATGTAATCCACCGTTATTACATTTAGATTCTTGATACATGACTTAACGTGGATAAAAATTTCTCGCCTCCATTAATTATGTTTAATCAGGGAACTTTTCAGTATGCAACCACTTTTTTCTGCTTATCGTTACGCTTTCATACTCACTAGCAGATATGAATGCTAATACTGAGTTATATTGAAGTTTTAATAACACATCAAACATTTTCAATACAATCCGACTATCCATTTTTAGCGAAAATGTGCTTGAAACATTTCCACCCCAAAAGATTCTTCTGAAGTTATTTTGTTTACCTGTCAACAAGTGTGACATCTGTTGCAGAGATGAAGCTGAATGAGTACATGACCACTGCGTTTTAGTACTTATTTGACAGCAGTGGTGTTTCTCAAAATTTTTTAAATTTTATGATGGCTTTTTCGGCATATTCTCCTTCTCATAGTAATACTTAAGTATTCAAATAAATGTTGACATTCGCTCATACATTTATAGTTTATTTACATTTATTTTAATTGACGGTAGCTGATGATGGATCGATACTGCTTTTTTACCGCGCATTTCAAAGATTTTTAGTTTACTTAAGGTGTGAGTAACAGTTGATAGATGACATAAAACCTCTGAATATTCATCTTCAAGATCATGTAGAAAGCTAAAGTCATGCACTGGTAGAAGTTGGAATTAACTCACCGGGCACTGAATTCAGTCGCAGTGGCTTAATGGTCTACGAGCTTACCTTTTAACCAGAAGATCCTGGGTTCGAACCCTGGTGGTGGCTGCACACTGTTGTAGAGTCCCAGAAAAGATGAAACAGCTGTCCACTACTCCCAGGTTCTCCAATGGTTCTCTAAGTGATTTCAGCTCATGATGAAACCCTCCAAACAATTAAAAAGCCATTTATAAAACCTGTCTTTTTCCCATGAAATGAGTTGACAGTCTTATAGTCAAACTCTACAGATTTCATGAATCTCTCAATGTTCTACTAACCTATATCCACCTAGGCTGCACATAAAATAGTGACCGTAAGGATACTTTATTGAAATAAATATGGATGCTAAATGATGAAGTTTTGCTTTCTAGCATAACTTCGCGTGAAATATTCTATTAGACTTTTGGAAAATTTATGTTTCTTCAATTTCACCTCACACAAATATGTTATACTTTGGTATTCATGTTGTTACCAATTGCTTTTCACTTACATAAAACTTACTCAACCCACCCCCACATCTCTTAATACCCACTTAATTAGTCACGAAATCATTAGGAAAGAAGTAACTACTTACTTTATATGGGCTTAAATGACGCGTAAATTCCATTAATTTCTCATGTACGAGACAGTGAATTAACTGCATAGTTTGCTGAAGATGTAATCTGTCTTCTTGTTGCTTTATCTTAAACACTTAAGTGAAAACTGATAATATACGTCATTGATATTAGCTGCAATCGGTTGATTCTCTGGCTGATTTTGTTATTGTAAACCTACTTTCTTACCATAAAATTCCTAATAGTTATCTAAATAAGGCTGCCTTCAAGTTGAGTAATTATAAGAAGAGAAGAAACGCACGACCGGAGTGTAATACCACCTGAATTTTCTTTTTCAGTCGGGAATCGTCTTTCACGAACACTTTGAATACTTTATGATGGAGGTGATTTGTTGTTTCATCTTAAGATCTAAAAACGTTTGATATACATTCGTATATATTGTCTTTACGAGCGTAATGAAAAGCCGGAGTGCCTTGTAAAGTTAGGAGTAACATTAATGATAAAAGCAAGACGTAAATGCAAACTGATTTTGTCAAATAGGAAGAAAGTATTACAAGAATGTGATGACTATTCATTTTTAAATATCACAGTAAATTATCATAGACGAATTCCCCTTATTATTATTATTGTTGTTCCTCTGGGTTCCTAGTGGAACATAGGGCCTCAGCTGCACGTCTCCACTTGCTCCTGTCTTCTGCTGTACTTTTCACCTGCATCCATATTAGTCCATACTGTTTCAACTCCTCTTCACATGACCCCCTCCATGTCACCCTTGCATTGATATTCCACTCGCCGCTTCCCTTTCGTATTCCACTCGAGCAATGGCCTAACGCGCGCGCGATGTCACCTAGCGGCGGCCTCCTCAGCGATTGTTCATCCAATCCATCTCCACTCCATCTCCTGCATATCTGTTGGGCGGTTGGTTCTTGTTTTGTTTGTTCCCAGCCATAGTTTCTTGTTGATGATTCTTTCCAGTGCGGCCATCTCGTCTTCGGTATAGAGCAAAGACAGTTGTTGATACAGGTCTGCAACAGGCTGTTGGAAATATTCTTTGTGACCCTCTCGCCAAGTTTGTGACCCGTAAAGAAGAACTGGCTGACTTGACGTTTGTATTGGAAATCCTACCAAATTTAGTTGTTGATGCTGGCTGAGTGACGAAGATTTCCAGATTGGTTTCAGGTTGATGAATGTGTGTGTTCTCGCCTTCCCGACTCTCGCTCGATTTGACATCCTCGTCCGTTCCGACTTCCTGTAGTTAAGACAATGCTCCATGCTAGATAAGTGAGTGAAGTAACCTCTTTCAAATCCCTCCCGTTGATGGTGATTGGCACTGGATGGACGAATTCCCCTTCATGATCTTTAACTAAGTTGTTTACAATAGGTACAACGAAATTTGAATGTTTAGTGTCACATTACTTATGTAGTGATTCTAAATACCGCATACAAAATGTATACACGGATAAAAATTTGATATTAGAATGCTGAAGAACGTTTGGAACATCTTGTATGTCCATCTTGTAAAGCCTAATAAAGCT